CTTGGAAGGCAGATGCAGGGACTGTGAGAATTAAGACCTTGGGCCCACTGTAGGAGAGGATCTGGTTCGAGACCATCTTAAAAGCCTGAACACAAGTCAATGGGACCTGATGAAATCCATCCATGGGTCCTGAAGGAGCTGGTGAATGAAGTTGCTAAGCCGCTGGCCATCATACTGGAAAAATCCTGGCAGTCAGGTGAAGTTCCTGATGACTGGAAAAAGGGAAATATAACCCTCATTTTCAAGAAGGGGAAAATGGATGCCCCGGGGAATTACAGACCAGTCAGTCTCACCTCTGTGCCTGGCAACATCTTGGAGAAGATTCTCCTGGAAGGCATGCCAAGGCACATGAAAAACAACAAAGATGCTTGCTGACAGCCAGCATGGCTTCACTGAGGGGTAGTCCTGCCTGATGGATTTGGTGGCCTTCTATGATGGGGCTACGGAACTGATGGACAGGGGTAGAGCAGTTGATGTCATCTACCTGGACTTGTGCAAAGCGTTCAATACTGTCCCACACGACATCCTTGTCTCTAAATTGGAGAGACATCAATGTGATGGATGGACCACTCGGTGGATAAAGAACTGGCTGGATGGCCGCACACAAAGAGTTGTGGTCAATGGCTTCATGTCCGGCTGGAGACCAGCAACGAGTGGTGTCCCTCAGGGATCGGTGTTGGGACTGGTCTTGCTCAACATCTTCGTCTCTGACAGGGACAGTGGGATTGAGTGAGCCCTCAGCAAGTTTGCCGATGACACCAAGCTGTGTGGTTCAGCTGATATGCTGGAGGGAAGGAATGCCATCCAGAGGGACCTTGACATGCTTGTGAGGTGGGCTGATGCCAACCTCATGAAGTTTAACCAGGCCAAGTGCAAGGCCCTACAGCTGGGTCGGAGCAATCCCAGGCACAGCTACAGGTTGGGCAGAGAAGAGATTCAGAGCAGACCTGCGGAGAAGGACTTGGGGGTGCTGGTTGATGAGAAAATGAACATGAGCCGGCAGTGGGTGCTTGCAGCCCAGAAAGCCAAGTGTATCCTGGGCTGCATCAAAAGGAGCGTGACCAGCAGGTCAAAGGAGGTGATCCTGCCCCTCTACTCTGCTCTTGTGAGACCTCCCCTGGAGTATTGTGTGCAGTTCTGGCGTCCTCAACATCAAAAGGACATGGAACTGTTGGAACAAGTCCAGAGAAGGGCCATGGGGATGATCAGGGGACTGGAGCACCTCCCGTATGAAGACAGGCTGAGAAAGTTGGGGCTGTTCAGCCTGGAAAAGGCTGCGTGGAGACCTCAGAGCAGCCTTCCAGTATCTGAAGGGGGGGCTATAGGGATGCTGGGGGGGGACTCTTCATTAGGGACTGTAGTGACAGGACAAGGGGTAACGGGTTCAAACTTAAACAGGGGAAGTTTAGATTGGATATAAGAAGGAAATTCTTTCCTGTTAGGGTGGAGAGGCACTGGAATGGGTTGCCCAGGCAGGTTGTGAATGCTCCATCCCTGGCAGCGTTCAAGGTCGGGTTGGATGAAGCCTTGGGTGAGATGGTTTAGTGTGAGGTGTCCCTGCCCATGGCAGGGGGGTTGGAACTAGATGATCTAGATGATTATATAGATGAATTACACAAAACTGTGAATGAGCTACAATTGAGAATAATGTAATACTAGATATAAACATCAGAACCAAAAGACAAAAAACAGGACATGCAGATTCTGCTCCTGATTTATTCTATAAGCATAAGATGCTTATAAACACCCCTCTTTGTGTTCAGTAAACATTCTTCTTATAGAAAGCTTTCAAACACTTTACAAAGCTCTCAAGTAGCGTTACAATTTTTCTTTTTTAACTTTTATAAGCACTTTAAAAAAATAATCATAGTATGCACTTTTAAAATATTCAGCTGCTGCAAAACTGCTTCTTATACAGAGGTCTGTTAAAAAGGGACTTTTCCAAGTTGGGCTTTGGAAAGAAAAAAATAGCAACAAATTTTCTGTAAAAATGTACAGAAACTGGTTTCCTGTTTGAATATTTTCCAGTTTTCTCCCGACTGTAAAGGCCCATGTGCATGTTACAAACTATCCCCAACAGTCAACCCAATCCTCTGTAGTTTTTCCACTGCTTGATATTAGTCAAAGTAGGCTGTATAAATTAATTTTTTTTTTTTTCTCCAATTTAAACAGCCTAAAGCAAGTTCCTCAACTTCATCAGAACACTTAGAAGCCAACCAAGGCATGAGCCAAATGCCTTCTCAGGACCACCTGCAGTTCTGAAGCCATTTATGCAGCCTTCAAAGAGCTAGAAGTTTCCCTGTACTACTTTTCTGGTCTCAATCCAAAATCACTATGTCTTGCATGTCAGAAATGTTACATATGGAAGGTGTAGACCTATGTTAGAGATACTGTCTCCCAGAACTTGTTCTGCCTTTGCTAAGTCTATCTTATCTACAAAAACTATTTATATTATTCTATACTGGTTACAAAATACAGTGACAGAAGACCTCAGTGATGGTCGTAACATATTTTAAAATGCACTTTGCATCTCTGGAATTCCTGCAGCCTTCTGTGATATACCTGATATTGTCAAAAACAGATTTTGGGCAAAATATTCTTCATATGACACTGTAGATGTACATTTATCTCAGACATTGCTCTATTCATTGCAACACAGCAGATGCCAAAATCCAAAAGCAGAGCCAGAGGCCAAACAAAAATGACAATGTATGAACAATAGGTTCTTCAGCATTATCATTTGTCCATTCTCACTAGCACACCTTCCACTCCTGTATTCTGCACCTTCACACATCTAGCTGTAGATTTGAGAAGCTGCTGCCCTGCATCAAAAAAGATTAATAATTCTTGAGATCCCTTGGTAGGTAGGTACAGTACTACCAAGACTGACTCAATGAAGGCAATTCACACAACAAAGACAAATTTCCATTGTGCTAGTGTGATCCTGGACTGTTCAAGCATTGTGGTCACACTACTGAAGACTCATCAGTACAAATGTAGAATTATCTTAACTGAAGTACCCGCCTAATGTACAGTCCCATAAAAATCTGGTGTATGTAAAGCTACACGTTAGAAGTCACAATAGGAGCCATCAATGAGTTACACAATAAAAAACCCAGCTTATCAAAATGACTCACATGTAGGCCAAAAAAAGTAAGCCTTTTACAGCATGAGATTTGTGGCAACTGCAGCTAAGGATCACCAGAACTACTACCTGGTTATCCTTACTCACAGACTACCCTGGATTCCTTACTCACAAATTGCTATACTCTCAGGTTTAGATCAGCAAGAGCTATTAAACTTCATAGTTATGTTGCCAAGAAAATTGCCATTCTGTATTAACCAGTAGCTCCCCATCTCCTCTCAGTCTATATTCTGACCAATCCACATCAGAAATGCAAATGCTAATTCTCAACCCTACCTCCAAATCCAGGCTTGATCTCTAGGAAATTCAGTTGATTATTTCTTCCGAACCTGAACTCAGTACTTTCACATTACTTGGTCAACTCAGTTTTATTGCACCCATTAAATCTATCAGTGCCACACTCAAATGTACGTACATACAGTAATCAGCAGCTAAAATTAAGAAGCTTGCACAACTACATGACCATACCATTCACTGCTCACCTTCACCCTACACAAGACAGTTTGAAAAGCAAGACCCTCTATATATTCTCACAGGACACAGTTTCGAAAAGCAGCAGAGCCTTTTGAAATCCACAGTTCAATGCCATACTTTGGAGAAAAGCCCTAACCAAGCAGGGTCAAGGGGGTCCAATATCACATACAACTTCTCAGTCAGAAGTGCTTTTGCTAAACAGAATAAGCATGCCTTCTGGGAAGGATTTGCTACTTGAGAGATTCAAGTAGTGATACAGCTCTATGATGCATCACTCTTATCGTAGGCAGTTGTTTGTTATTTGGTAAGGATGGATTTCATCTAGTCATCATTAATAGTCAAAAGTAAAATACCAACTTGGGTGATCTACCCACAGCATGGCATTCTCTCCAGCTGCAACTTCTCCCTATTACAAGGACAGGTATGAATGACCTATTTTTGTTTAATTTTATGAGCTAATATAGATTACAATAAAAGATCAAGCTGCTGGAACTGCCAAGTGCTGTGGTCGTGGGTGTTCTCTAGTGACAGACCCCAGGCTTGTCTATCTCTGGCCTGAACCCAATTTTTTAGGCGTAAAACTAATAAGATTGCAGGGACAAAAAAAAAACAAAACAATCAAACAAACAAAAAAACCTGCTGTACAATGTTCCTGACATCCCTGTTAGAAGTACAAACTCAGAAAATGCCTGGCATTAATAACAGGAAATTGGCATTGCCAGTACAAAAGAGGACAATGAGTCTCACTGCCAACCAGGAGTGGAAGAGTGAGACCAGAAACAGCAATTCCACCAGATAATCTGCCACAGAACCAAAAGCCTAAGCCAGCATCTTAGTTTGAATGTTTTACAGGTAAACAAGGCAATCTACTTAAATGAAATCCCAGGTTTTAGACCCATTTAAATCTTATTTTGAAAAGCATGTCATAACTCAGTAATTTGCAAATTTAGGAGCAGGTCTTTATTTTCCCTTATATTTTCAATCCACTTTTTTCAACATTTTAAAGTATCTTGTGCCGCACTAACATATCTCTTCCTTTGACTGGAATCTGACAAAGTCAGTCTCTGCTTTAAAGATGTAGTTGTTGCTGTTTTGTGTGTTAATGACAAACCCGCTTTGAACCCATACCAATAAGTTTAATAAACCCTTAAAATAACTTTTAAGTTGTTCTCCAGTGAAATATTAACACCCCAACATGCAACTAAACACATGCAATAATGCTGATGTTCATTAATACTTTATGTGCACTTTTAGCTTATTGTTTATTCAAAAAGATTTTGTAGTCCCATTTTTAATATAAATCATAACAGCAACTGAACAGTGTATAAATAACTGCTATCAGATACAAGAACAGGTAGAACCACATCATCATCATCTTTACCTCTTTAATTTTGTTCCTCTTCTCTCGGATATCCGGGTCTGCTGGTTCTCCACTGTTTATCCCTATAAGATTTGGTAAAGGAACGGGGGGCAGTGGCTTGCTGTCTTTCTTTTTCAACTCTTGCACTACTTTGTTCTTTTCTGTCTGAATCTCAGCTTGAATCTCATCACGTGATTTCTTCAATTTCTCCTTAGCCTCTTCCAGTGCCTTTTCATGATCTGCTCGGATCTTATTTCTCAGACGTTCCTCTTCTTCTCTAGAGACACAAATATTAGTCAGCATCTCATTAATAAAAACCACACTGCTTATAAACAAAACGCAGCTTCAAAACAGAACCCACATCCAAGCCGCTTTACTCCAAGTAATTCCAATGACTCAGACAAGTTTACTTTATTATGCTTGTTCAGAATCCTCCAGTCCTTTTGCCATGAACTCCAGAAGAACAGGGCACACACCAGCAACGTTATTGTGGAAAGATGTATCATTGGGTTTTATCTGCAAGCACCTTTGCTTACCTACTCAAGAATTTAGAGAGAAAAAGCCCTACACCCTGTAATTCAACTACAGATGTGTGCAGAGGCACATCTAGCAATCATTCAGTTTAAGAAAGAAGATCAGAAGGGCTCTTCCTAGTCTTGTGCACAATAAATACATTGTACACAACTTTTCAAGATCTGCAGTAACCACCATTTAAAAGAAAAGATTCACAGCCACTCCTTTTACTGCCAATAAGTTGGGAGCTGCAAGAGCTGCAAACTCCACCACAGCATGTTTTATCTTGAATTCAGAATTCATTGCTCCAATCAGTGCGTCCATAAACCTCACACATTAAACACAGAGTTAATTATAAAGCTATTTAGGAACATAAGAGCTTTCAGTAAAGCATGGTTTTGAAACTCACTGTCAACAAAACCAACATCATCTTGGTTCTAAAAGCACAATCTTCTATCACGATCTTTAATGATCAGTAAAGATTTCGAGATTCACATGCAAAATGAAGCTTACTGTTTTAGAGCCTGGGTTAAACAAGAGACAAAAATGGCTCATTCCAGTCTCAAAATATTTCAAGGCATCAGGAAGCTACACATCAGACTCTCAATATAACCTAACCTTTTCAAGCTTCTTTAAAATATCAAGTTGCTTAGTGACTAATGTAAGCCAGAATAGTTGTAAGGATTTAAAACAAGCACTAGTTAAAAACAAACAAAAAAAACCAACAACAACAAAAAAAACACAACAAAACCACCCACACTCCCTCCCAGTTCCTCCCCCAGGCAAAAATACCTTTTCCTCAAAAAGCATTAGGGAGGAGTCGGTGGATAATGGAAAGAAAGGCAGTCAAGCAGCAAGCCATGTAATAAATATCAAGCTTAGCCTAACTGCTTTCAGGAGGAATCACTTGACCCACATTGCATGGGGTTTTTTTCCAGTATACTGAAAACATACCAATGAAGAGAAACCACCATTTGATATGTGAGAATTAGAGAAGTTCAGTTGGAAGGGACCTCCAGTGATCATCCAGACCAACTGCAATTAAAAGCCAATCCAAAAGTTTACAGAAAAAAAAGAAAAACAACCCAAGATTGATAACTGTTAACCAAATATTGTCAAATATTTTTAACAAATTTTGTAGGGAAAATATCCCAATTTATATTATATAATATATTCCTCATTTTGTTGTCAAAGTCTGTGGTGAACTGCTAATGCTTCCAGAGACTGAAATCAATATTAAGAAGCTTGCTGGGCTGCTGCGTTGGATTGTTTGGGGACACGGACAGATTTTACTGAGCTTTGCAAGTATAGCAGAACTGGATTTATTAATCTCACAGATCAAGATCATATAACGTCATTTACAAGCACTGCTTCACCTTTACAAAAAGAAGGTCAAAGAACAAAGCTAATAATGAATAGCTTGCAGAGAGTTATGATACTATTGTATCAGAGCAATCCCACCAGACTGATTCATTTTGTGCAAGGTTTATGACTTACAGTCTTCTGCCAAGGGAGAGCTGATTTTAAGTCAAAATGCAATAAATCAAGCTTTCAGTTCCAAATATTCACAGTTCAAACCCCCAGCGCACCAACCCTGACTGCTATCTCATGGACATGCAGTATATTTTTAAGGTAAAATTTATACACTCTTTTCCCCATTCTTTAGCTTGGGCTCAAAAGCTCCAAGACACTTAGGCACACATTTTATTCTCAAGTTGACAAAACTGGTATCACTTGTCATCATTCAGAAAATAACTTCCCAGTTTACAGGTCAATGCGCTTAGCATGCAGGGGGAAAGCCACAGTACCGCAACATAAATGGTCTCAGCAAAATGCGCTGTTACACAGAATGTTTTATTAGCCCTTCCATCTTTCTGAAGTGCTATTAGGTTTGAATTTTAAGAGGTTATAGCAGCATTATTACCTTTCAATATTTCCGTACTAGAAATACAATGCAACTTTTTAACAGACAGACAGACTGACTGAAAGGCTTTGAAACTGAAGTTCCTCAGCCACTTTTCTCAACATGGCGCACAGCACATCCACATTTCTCCCAAACAAAAAACAAAGGACTGTGCTCCTCAACTTTGACTATCAAATCCAAACTCATTAATATTGTTGAGCAGTAGCAGTGCTTCTCTCCCTCAACTGTAGAGCAAAGAAACAACTATCTCTTCTAAAGAGAGATAATACGAGTAATATTTAAGATAACTTTTACTTCTACTATGACTCACAGGAGAAAATAAGCTTCCTTGTATTTTTGCAGAAGTTACACTCGCTGTGGCAGTAAAGTGCTCAATTCTGTAACGAAAGCAGCTGAAATTTCCTATCAAGCAAAAGACTTGAAAGCATGAAATGTGTAGTCTGGAAAGCTTTTCAACACTAGCAGAGGGCTTTGCGTAAGATGCAGCTAAAGAGAATGAGAATGAGGTTGCCAGAACGAGACACATCATTCCCCAGAATCAAGAGGCAGCAGGCTGTGCAGGAGCCAAAGAGATGGCTTACAGAGGATGAGAAATACGAAGCACTGCTGAACATTTAAGAATCAGAAATATTTCAGTGTGGGGATAATGTACTTTGGAGGTATGGTTCTTATTTTCAAAAGAGTTCCTGCAAGCGTCAGTCTTTACCTTCTGACCAGATCTACCATTTTGTTAATAAATATTGAAATTCTTCCTCCAAAAGAAAGAATTTTTAGAAAAACAGGATAACAGCCTATCTCAGACCTTAAGAAAAAGATGTTCAAGGTATAGGTATATCCACATCAACTGAATTTGGAGATGATGCTTTACAATGAGCATGCTTTACTCATAAATTGAAAAGGGCTTGGTAAAACCCCTGGTTCACATGCATGTCCCCAGAAATATGAAAGAGATTCATTACATATGTGTAGTTATAGTGAGTCTGACTCACTAAAGTGATCTGCTTTGCACACCTTCAAGATCAAGTGCAATGAATATTTTGCCTTTACCTTTTCTTTATATTTTCAGTCCCAGGTGCTGCATACAACAGTAATAATAAAAGCTCTATCACTCTGCCATCTTCATCTATTTCTAGATTCAAACTGCATGAAACAGCCATAAATAGGAAAACAAGTTTTCAACTCATGTCTATTTACACTGCAGGATCCGCTATAGAAACATAAAAAAGCTGCCGATTTCTACAGCACTATAATACAATTAGAGTCATTAAGGAGATTTGAATGATGGCCTACTTGCCTTCAGTCACTCAGCAGAACTAAGTATTTCAAGAAAATACACCGAGACTCAATAGAGATGAAAAACTCTAGTACTAATTGTATGAGCAGCTCCAAGTCTTCCAGGAAGTGACATTTTGAGACAAACATGAGAAAACAGTAAGATGAATAGAAAGGTCAACAGGTATTTGAGGAAGTTTACAGGAGATTGTCCAAGAGCTTCTGCAGAAATATCCTCTGTGCAATTACCAGAGACAGACAGCATGAACTACAGGAGATGTCATATTCTACATTCCAGCTGAAGACATATTTTATCAAATATATTCAAGTATAAAGAATCATAGAATGGTTTCGGTTGGAAAGGACCTCAAGATCATCTTGTTCCAACCCCCTGCCATGGGCAGGGACACCTCACACTAAACCATGTCACCCAACACTATGTCTTTGAGCAGACAGGGATGGAGCATTCACAACTTCCCTGGGCAACCCATTCCAGTGCCTCACCACCCTTACAGTAAAGAATTTCCTCCTTATATCCAATCTAAACTTCCCCTGTTTAAGTTTGAACCCATCACCCCTTGTCCTATCACTACAGTACCTAATGAAGAGTCCCTCTCCAGCATCCTTGTAGGCCCCCTTCAGATACTGAAGGGCTGCTCTGAGGTCTCCATGCAGCTTCTCTTCCACCTTCTGGGCTTAGCACGAGCAAGGGCTGAGGGTGCCAGCTCCCTGGTGGAAAAGCAGCACTTTACCTCTGGCAGGAAGGGCATTCCTGGTGAAAATGACTGCCTGCAAGTATGGAAAGGTGGGATCTTGTTACACAGCGATGACAGAGCACGGTTCTGCCCGGACGCTGCCAAAAGGATTGCCTTCCTCGTAGGGCTTGCCTGAAGCCCCACGGTAGGACAACACCATCCGCTCTTGCCTCCATGGGAAGAGCGCTGCCCTGGAGGTGGCCTCGGCAGCTCCACATCCCACCTCTTCCACCAGCCTATCCACCCCACAAGATGGCGGGTGCCGCCATCACCTCAGCGCTGCCACCCACCACTCATGTTTCTTCAGAGTTCTTAAGCAACAAAAACTAAGAAAGTAGTTCTGAAATACAGAATAAAATACAGACTATTGAAAATACAGAATAAAAAGAATTAGAAGATTGAAAATGTGTGAGCAGCGGACATCCCCCCAAGTCATAACCAACCACCAACAAGCTGCCCATCTAGCATAAGAAAGAGTCAGCAACAGTTTAATGCATGTAGATAGCACCACATTCAAATACTCAAGAGTGAAAGAAAGGCAACCTCAGAAAGGATCCATCTAAAAATGTAAGATTGGAAAGAATCCCAGCATAAACACATATACCCAAATCTGTCAAACAGTTTCCCTATTCAACTACCCACCCCAACCCCGCCTCTAGGCTACATAAGCAAACTCTTATGATATAGAGTATTTTGAGTAAATCTTCAAAATCCCTTACCTAACAGAAAGCTGCTGCTTCCTTCTAGTGCCCCCCCTTCCCCCCCACTTTACTCTGAAGTCTCAAAAGACAGAAAGGTTCAAGTACCATAAAA